CAGGGTTGCCCAAGCGGCGCATTGTTCGCGTGTGCACGCGCCCACAAGCGTGTGATAATTACTCGAATGTTGCAGTTCCGCATGCGCGGCACGTGGCACCAAACAGCAAACAGGACTCGGGCCAGGCGCTACAAGTATCCATATCCGTTTCAGGTTTCGCTCACATAATTGCGGCAGGCGTTTAGCCAAGATATCAGTACTAATATTTTGTGCAAACACAAACAAAGCCCTTAGGTTCCTGCCGTGCCGTGTTCCGTGCCGGGGTAAATATGTTTTTTCCAGCTGAAGTGGCACTCGAGTGAAGGACTCTCGTCTCTCCGGTCTCACTCGTTTTCAGGTGAGTGCGCGAGCCTTTTTGTTGTTAATTGCATTAATGTGCGTTATTTATAATCAAGTGCGCGAGCCTCAAGAACTGTGCGAACTTTTTGCCCTACTTTGGACTGTTTATGCGCCAAGCAAACAGCCAAAGAGCCAAACATGCGGCCAGGCAATAATGCTAAAAGTGCCAAACAGAGGCTCGTAAATTGCGGCCCGCACTCAGACAATTTGGCTCGTCGCCATTTTGTGCAGCCTTACCAAGGCGTCGGAGCCAAATACGAATATCCAATCCAATTCCCTGCTGCCAGCTGGCTAAAGACCCCGCCTAATAGCAGTTACTGACAACGCCGCATTGGCCCCCGGGGACCAGACAATTTCAATAAATATTTCACTGCATTAGCTCTCGACGCTGGCGTGTCCATGGGCAAGGGCAGTGCGGGGCAGAGCAGCGGGAGAAACGGAAACTGGAGTGGTATGGCATGAACAAATCCAAACGCAAATTGCCTTTTTGCTCCTGGCCAGCAATAACGTGCATTAAATGTTTGGCCATTATCATTTTAGGCATTTGCGAACACATTTTCCATTAGCCATTTGCCAATGTTGGCCTGCCGTTGGCTCCGCGTCAAGGCTGTGCCCGCCCACTGCACCCGTAGCGTCGTCTATTGAGCTACAAATCGACAGCAATTTCAATGACAATGCAACTGCAGCCAAACAATTGCCACACGGAGAGAACAAACTCTTTGCTTAGAGACCTAAGAAAGCCATAATAGTTGCTCCCTTAGACAGAAAGGGCCAAAACAACAAAGAACCACCTTGATTGCCTTGTTAGTTGCTGCAGTTGCTGCTGCTCTCTATGTGGTTGCCATTCCTAACTAACACTAACCGCAGACCAGGCGGGGCTAAAGCTGCCAAGCGCCTTTCTTCATTTTCTGACAATAAATTTTCATTTTCTTGGTAAATGGTCCGTTGTTGTTGCTCCTGCTGCACTTACTCCTTGATGGGTACGCTGTGTTGGTGTTGTCGATTGCCTTTTTGCACATATGCCCGCATTTTTGCACCACAACAATTTGGCAGGCACCGCTCATTGTCTTTGCCACAGCCACAGCCACAGTCGCAGCCGCATTGCAGTTGCAATTGCTCACAAGTTATCCCAAGTGGAAATTTTTGCTGTTGTTCTTCGGTGTGCGGTTGTTTTCGTTGTTCTTGTTGTATTTGCTGTTGTTGCTGTTGCTGTTGACTGAGTCAGGTCTGGCAAATCGCAATAAAACAAAAGTGATTGTCAAGTGAATACGCTTATTCCCGCAACCATATACATATCCTGCTAACAACAAGGATACGCCGTCATAATATGCAATTCATCATGTGCGCTCTTCTGCGTAATTCGGAGTGATTAAAATGGCTATTCATATGCACATGATTGATGGATAGATTCGAATATAATCGTTGATATTCAGAGTGATTTCTTTAAAATGGGAAAGCGAGTTGAAATTAAACGAACGAGAAACTGAAAGTACATTATATTAGACATGAGCTATTGTCGGAATTGCCATTAAGTTTATTCTTATAAGTATATACTAGCTGATATTTTTCTGGCAGGTCCAAGTTGCAACAGTTCTCCACTAATTTCGCACTTTTGTGGGTGGAAGTGCTTAGATACAAACTAAAGACCGATCAGATGAGACTTCCAACATCACCCAGGTGGGGTGAACTGTGGCTAACTTATGTGACGGAGTTTAACGTTTGTATGCAACTTTTTTTTTGTTTATGGATGTTTCGCAGTTTTTGGAAAATTCATGCCTCCTTGGTATAAATGGGGGTCAAAGACTTGGTGCTCAAATTCATTAGCAAATATCTATAGGAAAACTCATTTGAGACTAGCAAATTTTTATACTTATAACCGAGCTTTGACATTTATTCATACAACTTACGATCTCCACTTTTCAATGGATTTTGCCAATCTATTCCAAATAATTTATACAAATATGTTTCAAAATAGGTTTCAACCTAATCTTATGGTAAATAAAAAGTTATATTTGACCGTTTTTATACAATTTTTCACATTTTCGATATTCATTTTTGAATAATCCATTTTAACTGGCATCTACATCACCTGGGGAAATTACTGTGAGACTGCCTTATAGATCTTCTGGTTTGAGTAGTGCGTTGGTCACCAATCACTCGTCGTTCAGTCAATCAGTGATGAGAAGATGTTTCTTATAAAATTTATTTTTTGATAATTCAAGACTTCATTAAGCCGATTTCAGCTACGGGAAGACCATTTTCAAGAACTTTCGGTACGTTCCACCTATTTAATATAGACCGGAACAACCTTTGTCACGCTTATTAAATGCCTAGTAAACATAATTTTAGTTAGGCGATTCCCTTCAATATACGCATAAGTCATAGATATAAAAAAAAAAACACGCAAATTTGGCCACTTTGAAAATACAAACAACTTGGCCAACAGTCGGGGCAGGTTTATGGCGGGGGCATGTTGTTAAATGTGGTAACACGCACGCACGCAGGCAGTTAATTAAGGGTGTGAACTGGTTGAGTTATGCATAGAGGAGTCAGAGCCAACATATCAACCCCACAAAGCAAGCATCATCAGGACACGAAGGACATGCCGCTCTGCAAAATGGGCAGTAAATAATTCATTAGCGGCTTTTAACAATAAATTTTTGTGGGACAGCCACTGGCTATCTGACTAACTGGCTGACCGACCGGCAGAGTGAGCAACTGAGAGAATGAGTTCTTTTTGAGGGCACTCATTTTAATGAAGTGGCGCATTCGCTGGCGGCGGCAGCTAATTAGTCGGCGGTTTGAACTTTGAACTGCACTTCATTAGAGCTGGAATTTGCCGTGTTGTTTAAACTGCTGCCGCGATAAGGATAAGAGTTCACATCCAGTAAGTCAACGAGCTACCAAGCCATCGAACCAATGCAACCACCTGCACGTGTTCTGGCACATTGCACAGCGGCTGCCAAATTAAAATGCAATAATTCTTCATTTGCGCACAGGAGAATGCGCAAAAAACAAAAAAAAAAAAATGAAAAAATACATGTCGGCACAAACGTGAAAAGGCCAAAAGCCAAAGGCAGGAAATGTGCTATAATTGAAAAATGTGGTAACAAGACTCTACGTGGCGGGCCTAATGAATTCTTCGCTTTTTGCATGGCTCCGTCACGACACGCAAGCCTAAAGAAGTTGTTGATGTTTGCCACTCGGAGAGGGTGATAAATGCTCATCAGGCTTAAAGGCTGCGCTGGCAATTAACTTTTACAATGTTGTTGAAACGTAATCAAGTTGTCAGCAGCGTCAGTCATGGCAAAGATCTGCCTCGCCGTCGCGGATGATACTCCTAATTAAGCAAAGTTTCAGGCTATATTCCCAGGCCAGCGCCTAAATGTCAACAAATGGCTGCTTAAGAATCTGAACCCCACATTTTTGTAGTGGGAGCTGCTAAGGCTGCTAATCCTGCGGGATCCATTTGCCTAATGCCCTGCAACAATTTCGCAGTCCGCACTTGAGCGTATATTTCAAATGTCTTTCAGTTGTCATAACAAACTTTGGGGAGCAGCCAAGTTGTATTTTGCTGGGGCGCCCCATTAGCTGTCTTAAGTCTTGAGTTACGGGCAACGGGCGCCAGGAATTGACAATAAGCGGCATAAATTTTAAAATTTCATTTTTATCGCATTACAATTTTCTCAACAGTTTTTTATGCCTCATCATATTCTTTTCGGTTTTTTTTTAAGCCACGTTTAAGTAAGATGCTTGCCTGGCATTATTGACTTTTGAGTTGATAAAGTGCCATAAATGTCACCCCATTAAAACAGACAACAACAACCACAACAACTGCGACAGAAGGAGAAAGAACAACGGTAGCAAAAGGCAACAACGTCGCAAAGGTAAAGGTAAAAGCGCGTTGAGTTACCGGCTCCTGGGGGTTGGTTGCCAGGATAATGCGCCTCAACTCAATTGGGAATTTTAAAAGTAAAGTTGAATTTCATGTTTGGCTGCGGCAATTGTCACAGATGGTTTAATTGAAGTAATTACATACGAAATCCGTCAGGATTTGCCAGCGCCAGCACTGCCGCCCTTCAAATGATGACACTTTTTGCTTATTATTTTATTATTACTTACTAAGCCAACAGCAGCAGCCGGGGGGGTTTCCCTCGGAAAGGGTTAATGGCGTTGTTTGACTTTTGTTTTTGCGCCATTGCAGTCCTCACCACTTGCCGCTCTTCTAATGTTAATGAGCTAATGACTGCTGCGTGTAATTACGAACCGCTGAAAAGGTGTCATAATTATTTATGGGCGTATCTTACATTTTATTATCATTATTCGAATACATTTTTGCTTATTTTTGTCCCATATTTTATGTTACAAGCCGAGTTAAGCCGGTTTTACAGCTTTGAATGAGTTGTCTGAGTGGAAGCTGTTCAAAGGATGTTTATCCCCAAGCAATCATCAACTCTCACGCCTCAGGTACAATTTCTCATGCGTATATATATATATACTTGGCTGAGTCAGCGCAATATTACAAATGGTAGCTTATAAATATAGATTTTTGGTTTTTATTTAATTAGCGAACAACTGTTTAAATAAAACATAGACTATTATTATTCCACCTCAACTAAATGCTATAAAAAGCCCTTGATCAGAGGTAGAAAACTGAATTGTCTCACTTAGCTTGTGGTTAAGTGTCCTCTTCTCCAGATTATCGAAATGTTCCGTGTACTCTTTTTGTTTGCTGCCGTTTTCTATGTGGTCGAGGCTACTGTAATATTACCCAACCCTACAGTTACTTCTAAGTGTAACATCTATAAGAAAGACTTGTGTTGGGCACTTGTGGATTGCATTTGTCGTCCATTCCAAAATCCTTGTCTAAGGGATGCCGAGAACGCGCTTAGGATAGAGAATTGTAAAACACGTAAGTTTTTCGGAAATTTTCAAACTGTCTTAATAGAATTGATCAAAATTGCATTTGCAGCAATTGTGCCCGTAACGGAGGAACTATGCAAGCATTTCATTCCGAAGGTATGTCTCTGGGGAAGACCCGTGAAAGCCTACTTCCCTAAGCCTCCCAAATGCGGCTGCCCGGACAAGCCGGGTACTATAGACGAACTAACGTTCAAGAATTTCTGCCAACTGCAGAAATATTCTGCCGAAAAGAATGAGGGTGAGTTTAAGTACTAAAAAAAAACTAACACAACAGCTTGAAATACTTTCGTTTCTTTTCAGCTTATGTGTCCTACAAAAAATGCTCTTTGTTAAAATGAACTGCCTTGCGCTCAAAATCTCTGTTGACGATCACGACAAAACACTTTCCATTTGTTGTTTCTAATTGTTTTTATTAAATATGTAAACTCATTCTTTTCAAACATGTGTCTTATTTATAAATTAAATTGTAATTTTGTTCATATTTAATTAAGAGCTGACTTTCACCAAAAACATCTGAATATTAAGGTCTATAAATATTTTGCAAACATCGGAAAGTTTACAATATTTGTTCAAGCTTTAATATTCGTTTTGAAAGTCAGCGCCGTTTAAATATTTATGGTTGATAAATATTTTTAATAGTCATAAAAAGAGTAAATAACGCTTCGCAGTTCAGGGGTCAATTCTATCCAAATAATTAACAGGCAAGTGCTTTTCATTCGGGTGTACTTCACTTGTATATACCCTGTACCCAGCAGTATACATCCATATCTGTACTTAGAATATCGAAGACTATATACAACAATAAATATATGTATATTTGTTAGTATATATATGCACCATATTCGTCTAGCTTTCTCTTCTTAATATAGCTTTATATGCTTACCTTTAGTATACTGAACTTTAAAAGCAAGAGTTTTAAAATAATCATTACAAAAATATCCATCAATACAACTGCTTAAACAATTGCATTACGCGATCTTTACCTATAAAAAGTCGTCGAATTGCTTCAAGGTTAAACAGTGCCAATAAATTCGTATCAAAAGCCTATTCTCCAGATCGCAATGTTCAACATAAAGCTGTTGATCCTGTTCGCTGTCGTCCTCTGCGCGGCCCAGGAATGCATTGTTGCCGAACCAGCAGTGGAACCAGCCGTCGATTCTGCTGCCATTAGACCTGGGGCCGGCCGTTGTAATTGTAATTGCTGCAAATGCAATTGTGTGGATCGCTGTGATTGCGGTTGCTGCAGTTGAGTTGTGAATTATTTGAAATAATGGTAGGTAGTTGAAAAATCAACTCAAATATAATGCTACAGGCCTTTAACATTTACAGCGCATAGAAATTGTGGAGCCAAAAAGGAAAAGTTTTTATTCGCAATTTGTTTTGTTGTTGTCATTAAAATTGTTGTAACCTTTGAATCTAAGTGTTTTTCATCGTCACAACCCCCATGTCCACATTGAATTCTTTGCCACGTTGTTCTTAATGCAACACTTTGTGCGTTCAATTGTAAAGCTTTCGATGCTACAATGCACAGACAATCATTTTCATTGCATTGATCACTTGTTTATTCATATCCATTCATTCGTTGGCAAAGTAATTTCTTTGCTCTTTATGCTCTACGCTTTCTTGACTTCACAGCGACAATCAAAAACAAAAACAAAAGCAAAAGTAATCATGTCCTGTAGCTTCTTTCGCATTGGCGCAGCCGTTGTCTTTTCCTTTGTATACCCTGTGCCACAATTGGTTCACGGGTATATCAATCCACAATCTATCGTATGTTCTTACATTTTGGCACAAATATTTAGTATGTTTGCCTTTTTAAAATTTTTGAAAATCGCATATAGAGGTTATATATTAGAAAAAAAAGATAGAATATGCAATATAGAGAGAGAGAGAGAGAGAGCAGCAAATGCTTGAGAGATATAGAGAGAAGGAATGATATATGAAGAGATATGAAAGAGGTAGTTAGAAAATGGTAGTGACTGCTACTTTTTAATTATATATTTATTTTATATATCGAAAAATATCTTTATTTATCCTCGAATATGTTAGACTGCTTCGCCACAGGACATGTTGCCTATCCACCTAATAAGCTTAAAAGCCTTATCGAGTCATTTAGTATAAAAACAAGCAATTAAAATGATGAATATGCAATAAATGTGTATACACACATTAAAAAGGACAATTCGCTGTCCCCCTCTACCCATCCATACATTTTATATGCTAATGAGGAGAACATTTTTTATCTAAAAAGCAAAAAAATGCGGACACACATTTGCCTAATGAAAATAGCGCCATTAAAATGAGAAAAACAACTTTAGATACCGAAATTCGAAACACGCCGAGTTTTGGCAATTAAAATGCTACGAGCATAAGGTCCTGTCAACTTTCTACCCGTGCCGTTGCGTCCCGCTGGCTCTGAATGTGCATATGTATGTGTGTGTGTATCTGGCAACGATCGTCTAGCAAATTAGAGATTAACACGCATGTGTCATCCCTTTTGGACATTTTAGTTCATTGACCGCTGTTCGGCAATAAAACTACTTAAATGTCCAAAATTTTAACTGAGTGCCAAACTCGCGGCCAGTTTTATAACTTTACGAATTAGAGCAATTTGATGAAACTATAAAAATGTCAAGCCACACAACTGTGCCGAAAATGCATAGAAAACTTGATGGCGCGTGCTCAAAAGGAAAGGTAGATAGACCGAGGGGCTACCCCTGGCTCACCACTCGTCTCTCTTATCCGACTGTGTGTTCAATACACTATGACGAGCGCGGACTACGCACGTTAGAAGTGCAGTCAGTCAGAGTGAAGAATCGTGCTAAGGAATTAACTATACTCTGAGGACTGGGCATATTCAGGGAGACGAGGAAGAGGCAAGGGACGCCTTTAGTTGGGTGTGTCCCTGTCATATTTCTGTTGCATCTCACAATGCCAACATATTAATTAAATTGCCCACGAGCCTATGCGCCTGTCAGCTTGTCTCCCATCTCGCTGTCAGCTGGGGGTCAAATACGGTCAGCAACTTAATTATATGTCAGGCGCCGGGCTTCAATTATGCTCTATAATTATATGTGTATTTTTGTTTTGCATTTTAAACTTTTTTATTTGTTTCTCGTATTGTTTACCTTTAATTTTATAATTGCAATTACGTGCGCAGTCAGTGGCTATATGCATCAGTGTAGACCCCTTGTTTGTCTAGCTGATAGGTTAATTGGCCTTAAATTTGTGGCAAATTGGCTGATATTGCACTTAACGGTGCATATTATGTTATTATATGTTATTTGTTAATATGTGAATATATGCATATTGATTTATTCTGCTACAATTAGGTAAAATTTGTGAAATTAAACTATAAGCCTTTTTTATCCGGAAGTTACAAATTGGATAAAAAGCGTTTTTTCAGTTGCTCCGCATTATTGAGAACATTTTTTCAATTTTATCAAATGGGGAAAATTATCCGAAACTTTAAATATACAAATCTTTATATACTATACGAGAACTATCCCCAACATTCGAATATGTATATACTATTTCAAAGTTCAAGTTTCTATCTTTTGTAGTTGATTACATAAATAATTAACTCCCATAGAGAATAGTTTATTCCGTATATATTACCTTTGTAACTAAATATTATTACTTATTAAATTTAAATTGTGAAAATCACAGCAACGAATTAGCATTGTCCTTTGTCTTCTGTCGGAGCCAAAAATCGTTGAGTGGCGTTGAGTAAAATAAAATTGATTGATGACCCAGCACACATATAAAGTATTTGCGAGTTTATATTTAACACTTTGATAGATTGCTGTGAATCGGATTGAGGGTGAAGCGGACGTTCGCCGACTCGAACGGGCTGGTGTGCAATATCTAAACAGCAGGCAAAGTGTCAAAGTAATAAAGCCAACGTTCACGTCAACAAAGCCAAAACATTATCATCCTCAACATCATGCTTATCCACATTGCCATCATCAAGAGAGACTGAAATGTTTATGCAGCCACGAGTCAAATATTTTGACAAGGGGGTGTGGCAAGGCAGCGGGCGACTGTGGTTGCGGCCTATGCCCAAAATGAGATACAAATGTTGCTCGCCATGTAAATGCTTGAAAATTGCTATGTCTGTGGCTTATTGACATTAATGTAACAATTGTCACCGGATTTATTAGGGGCCGATCCATGCGAAAGGGGTGCCGCATAACAAGCTGGAAATTGGCTCTCAAGTAGCATACAATGTTAGTGGTTAATATCTACAGCAGAAGCCTTTACTTGTGTGTGTGTGTGTGTGTGTTTTGTTATCAATCATTTGATTGAAATTAATGATCTAAAATTTGCATTATTTTATGATGAGCACACAACTTCTGTGTGCCTCTGCCTTTAGTGGTGTGTTATTTGCGCAAAATGTTTGCATATATTTCAGGGGTAATTAACTTTACCCAACACGATTTTGCATTAGCAGCAAGTAATCTAACCTACATATTTCAATTTAATTACCATAAATAAACCAACGAATGGCATTGCACGAGGTATGCTCATTAAGTCACAAGAATACATTAGATAATACTTATTTCTAGCAGTTGGCAAGCTTCGCCAAGTTCAAAAATTCTAAGCCGCAGACGAAAAGTGGGTAAAAAGCGCTGTTCTTTCGTTTTCTATCTCATTTGCAAACATCTACACTTTTGATTTGAATAGTCGTTAGTCGTTCTGAATTATTGCACTCCAAATAACACGGAAATATTTTATCTTTTTGCAGACGAAATGTGAAGATGTTACGATTTAAGACCTAAACCTGAACCTAATTTGTCTTAAACGATTATAAGGCCTTTTTTAAATAAATGTCTTAATAATATTGGCCTCATGAATACAAGTGGGACTTACAGGTTTTCATGATTTGATTTTAAGTGTTATATTAAGAATTCGTGCTGGTAATCTAATAAACCGCATCGCTACCCCCACTTCCAATCTATCTCTGTCTTATGAATTTCTCTGTCTTTATCCAATTCTTACCCGCTGTTTACTTCCTCATTTTTGCCAATAGAGAGCAATAGAACAATTTAAGGGTAACTACACGTTTTCTGATATAGTTATGTATCAACTGTTGGACACTTTTTATTATTAAGAAACCGTAATACTATCATATTACTCGGAAAAGCTTTGAAAATATTCATATACCTGTAAAAGTAACAAAGCTTATGGCGACATTTAATGCATAAAGCCGCTTATACATTGTATATGTATGTGTATATGTCTAAAAGAGGGAAATCAGACCGACAAGAAGATCAACAATAAACCCACAAGAATACAAATTACTAGAACACGAAATACTCACAAAGACTGCCAGCCCAAATACATGCACACAAATGCGCACACACATGCGCACACACATGCGCACACACATATACCAAGTCATATAAATGTACAGTTTGTGGCGCATATAAAAACGGAA